TATATAATTTCTGTTGAACCATCTCTTCAATTTTTTCTAAGTTATTTCTTTTAGCCTCAGCATGCCACGGGGACAGTATTTTCAGGTTATTTCCTAATACGGTTAGAAGATAATGAGAATTCTGCAATCAAGAATTGTCCAGGGCAGAAAAGCATCTTTCCAATTAATACACTTCCTACATAGTTAATTTCTAAATGCAAGTAGTTCTATTTCCTTTCAAGTATGGCTACAGTATAAAACTGGAATTGGGAAACTATCAAGTACCTTTTTTTCTGTGAATATGTACTTCAGAAACTGGTATACAACATGCACCTAGTAACTTTTTTTATTGCAGTGGTAATTTGGAAATTTGAGGGTAAAGACACAGAGCTCCTTAATCTGTGAAATATGAACTTATTGTATTTATTGAGCACAAAATAAAAATAGTATGATATTCTTCATTATTTTAGAATATATATAGTTGTTGTTATGTGTCATCGATTCACTTGCGACTCTTAGCGACCCTATATGTACAAGAGCCCTAAACGCCATTCAATCCAGTGCCAACCTCGCTGTCTCAAACACACTCATTCCCACCACTCCACTCACAGAATCCATCCATCTCATTGAGGGTCTTCCTCTCCTGCGCCGTCCCTCCACTCTCCCAAACGTGATGTCCCTCTCCAAGGACCAGTCCCTCCTTGCAACATGCCCAAAGTATGTCAGACAAATTTATTTGTAATTCTTCTGCAAGGAAGCTTTCTCTCTTCTTCCCAGTTCCATTTATTTGTTCAATTATTTATGTCAGTATGGGATTGCTCATATTTATTTTACATGTTTATTTTAGTGGAGCTATCTCCTGATACTACCACATTATTCTATTCTTCAGATTGTTCCAATTCTGGCACTGGAGGACTCTTTCAGTTGGTTTCTGTGTCCTGGTACTTTACCACCATCAGTGTTGTTCTTGTTGTGTACCATTGAGTTGGAACCAACCCATAGCTGACTGTCTGGTGGGTTTTCAGAGGCAATTAATGGAACAGGAGGAGACTGCCCATCCTTTTGCCACAGAACAATTGGTGGATTCAAACTGAACTCCTTCAGCATTGCAGTGCAGCCTCTTCGCACACTAGGCCATCAGAGCTCCCTTCTTACCTCTTCCTTACTTTCTGATACAAGGTGCTCCAGGGTCGTCTTGTATATTTTTTTGCCCCAGTCTTCGGAACAGCCATATCTCCAAGGGCTCCCAGACTTCTTTCATTGTGTTGTTGTGTATTGTTGAGTCAGAACTGAGTCATAGCTGACCCTCTAATGGGTTTTCAGAGGCAATCAATCTCATGAGAGGAGGCTGCCCATGTTTCTCCCGCAAAGCAGGTGGTGGATTTGAACCGCATGCCTTTGAGTTAGCAGTGCAACTCTTTACCACTAACCACCAGAGCTAGACATCAAAATCTAGGCACGAAGCTTGCACTTTGTCGCAAAGGCCTCACTACTTAGATCCTCTCAGCTGGCAGAGCAAGGCAATGTCTGTATAAGACCAAGTGTACACATATGTCTATGCTGTTATTGTTTCGTGCTGTGGAGTCGACTTTGACTCACAGGGACCCAGGTTCACACAGATCTGAACCTTGCCCTGGACAGCGTGATCCCCACAGCCTCTGTCCTGCGCAAGCGCACTGTGCAGTCACCGTGTCAGCCCATCTCGTTGGAGTCTTCCTCTCTTTAGCTGACCCTCTACCTCCACAGCATCATGATTCTCTCCAAGGAGTGGTCCCTCTTGACAATGTGCCCAAAGTATGTGAGGCCAAGTTTCACCATCCCTGCCTCTCAGAACAGTCTGGTTGTATTTCCTTCAAGGCAGATGTATTTGTTCTTTTGGCAGTTCATGGGCTGTTCAACTCTTCACGTACACAAAGGCATCGATTCTTGTGTAGTGTTCCTTATTCACTGTCCAACGTTCAGATAACTAGGAAACAATTGACAATAATCAGACTTGGTCTTTAAACTAACATCCATCCTCTTTAGACCTTTGGAGAGCTACTTGACAGCAGATTTCCCTAATGCAGTAGGGATTCTGATTTCTCGACTTGTGCTCCTGTGGGTGTTGATTCAAGTAAAATGAAATTGTTGACAATTTCAATCTTTTCTCCATCCATCATGTTGGAGGTGGTGAGGTCCAGGACTTTTATTAAGACAGAAAGAAGCAGGACTGGTCATCCATTTTGAAATACTAGGCCTTCAGAAGCTCGATGGGTAACAGAAGAGCTCATTTCTATAGGTGACCATATATATTAAACTAAACCTAATTTCACAGAAATGTCTCCAATTCTATGATCATTACTTTATTGATATTAACCTCTTCCCCCTGCTCATTTGCAAATTCTACTCCCAACAGTTAGAAAACTGGTTTCATCCATCTTTATTTTATTATTACTTTAATGAAAGTTTACAGAGTTTGGATTTCCATTCATTCACTCTTGCACTTTTCTCCCTGACCACCCCTCCCCCCATTCCCTTTTCTTTTTGAAAAGTAAAAGAAAACATTCTTTCATTGTTATTCAATCCCTCCCCTCAAGTTCATTCAACTATGCTACTTCATTCTGGATTCCTGACATAACAATAATATCTATTACATCCCTTCTCATGCATCTATTAAGTGTTCAACAGTAGCATACATGGTATGAATTCACCAGCACCAGGATAAATATAAGCAATCTCCTCTCATATGATTTAAAGCCTCTGAAACCCACTGGTAAGTCAGCTATCACTTGTTTCCAACTCGAAGGCCATGAGAAGAATTATAAACTCTAGGTGAAGAATGGAAACCCCAGAACACTGAATTGTGCTCATGGGAAACCTACACCTAGGCCAACAGGCTGTTGGGTGGACAGAGCAAGGGAATACGACATGGTATAAAATCAAGAAAGGTGTGAGTCAGGGTTGTATCCTTTCTCCATACTTACTCAGTCTGTAAGCTGAGCAAATTATTTGAGAAGCTGGATTCTTATGACGTAGCATGTAGCACCAAGATCGTGGAAGACTCATCAGTAACTTACCCTACGCAGTTGACACAATCTTGCTGAAAGTGAGAAGGACTTGAAGTGCTTGCTACAGAAGATTAAAGAATACAGCCTTCAATATGGATTGCAACTCAACAGCAAGAAAAATTCTCACCCCTGGACCTATAGGTAAAATCATGATAAAAAAAGAGAGAAAGATTGAAGCTGTCAATGACTCCTTCTTGGCTGGATCCACAATCAACATATTTGGGACCAGCAGTCAGGAGATCAGGAGGCATATAGCATTGGAAAAGTCAGCTGTCAGAGACTTCTCCAAAGTCCTGAAGAGCAATGATATCAGTTTAAAGACTAAGGTTCACCTGGTTCAAGCTACAGTCTTTCCACTCAGTTGCTATACACCTGAAGGACTGGACAATGAATATGGGTGATACAATGATGCCTTTGATTTGTGGTGCTGGGGAAGTGTACTGAATATTAAATCCCGAGGACAGCCAAAGAACACTCCAACATGTATTGGAGAAGGTGCAGCCAAAATGTTCCTTGGAGGCAAAGGTGGAGACCAGCTTCGTCTCACATACTTCGGGCATGTTGAGCTAGGAGTCAAATTCACTTGAAAAGCTTTTGGAGACCTACTCTGTACACTGAGAAACTGTTAGTGGGGAAGCCTCAGCACAATTCAAGCCACATTACGTTGTACCTGCCCATTGGATCGACTTGAAAGGTTAGCCTGTGCTGCCTGCTCCGGGGGTGCAGAGGGGAGACTCTTGGCCTCAGAGACAACCTGGCCTCACACCCACAACTCAGGTCCGAGAAAGGCACGAGGCCAGTTGAGCCGTACTGCGCTGGGGAAGTCGCAGCACTGCTCAGACCACATCCCTAGATTTTTTATTTTTTACACTTTAAAAAAAAATAATTTTAGTGAACATTTACAGAGATTTTGGATTTCCATTGTTGTTTCCATTTTGGATTTCATTGTTGCACTATTTTCTCTAACCCCCCCCTCAGTTCGTTCCTCTCTCCCCCCCCAAAAAGTCTGTTTTTTAATGTTATTTTTTTTTTAAATTTTAATGAACATTTACAGAGATTTCGGATTTCCATTCATTCATTGTTGCACTATTTTCTCTACCCCCCCAGTTCGTTCCTCTCTTTTTCCCCCCCTTAAAAGTCTGTTTTAATTGTCCCATTGCCACAGCGCTTGTCAAAATCAGTTCTGATTAATCTCCTACATCCCTAGCTTTACAAAAGAGATTCTGCCCGTCAAAGTGGAACGTGGCTGAAAGGCGCCCCACCACGTCTGCGCCCTTCACGTTCAAGGCCATCTTCGTCCTCCGATCGAGAAGGTGTCATAATGTTTCAGCCTCCCCTCCGCCCAAGCCCACGTGCAGGGAGAACTCCCCTGGCAGGGCCACTGGGTCACTGCTACTGACAGGCGGCGCAGAGCCGAGCATGCGCAGTGGCGGGCTGCTTAGCGCGCAGGCGCGAGCGCCACGCCTCCGCGTCTCTTCCCTCCTCCCCTTACGCCCCGGGGTCAGAGTCCGCAGGGCACGTCGCAGTGACGCGCGCGGAAGCGCCGCTCGCTCGCAGAGCGCCGGAGGCGGAGCCCCCGGAGCCGGGCGCAGACAGGCGGGCCGGGCGTGCGGAGGGCCGGTGCCGCGGCGGCCCCATGAGTCGAGGTGCCATGCCTCAGCCCGCGGCGTGGCCGGGCGCCGGCTGTGCCGAGAAGCCGGCGCGGGATACGGGTGCCACGTCCCCGGGCCCCGCGGGGCGCGAGGGCGGGAAGGTGGCGGCCGGCTGGCAGTCCCGGCTGGCGACGCGGTGTCCGGCGGAGCAGTGAGTGCAGGCGCGGGGCGGGCCGGGCGCGGGGCCCCTCGAAGGCTGGGCCAGGCGGCACCCCCGTGACAACCTCGGGCTCCTGCAACAGACGACCCCCTCCAATCCCACGCCCTCGGGGGCATCAGGTTCCGACCTCCGCGATAAGCACACATCCAGGCAGTTGATTTCCGGAGTGACCCCTCCGTTCTGGAGGCCCCGTGCCCCCTTTTTAACTCCCAGCTACACCGAGCTCCCCGAAACTTGGCGAACAGAACCGAGAGACGTTTTCATTCATAGCTGTCAGTAACCCTTTCCGTCGCGAAAGTTGAGTCGGCGCTGTCACAGCCGCGTGGAAACTGAGCCCCAGACGTGTCCCTTCTGCGGGCGAGTCTGTGCTTGATGACCATCCCACCTGTCCGGCCTTCCCCTCGGCTCCCCCAGTGCTGGTTAAAGGAAGTGCTTTTGCAAATTCCTCTCCGAATTGGCTAGATAAACGGCCCGGATCTGGAGTCTGCAGAGTCTTGTGCCAGGGTCTGCGGGTAGGAAGGAGGAGCAGAAGGTAGACTTTGCTCCATTTTCCGCTTCCAGGCAGATTTAAAATCCCCCAATTGACCAACTTAACCAGTTTGACAGATAGGTTAGTCCGCTAGAAAGTGGAATTGTAAGATGCGTTGTTCCAAGGTACCCATCCCCCCACCCCCCCTGCATTTCCTAATAAGAGAGGCCAGAGGCCTGATAGTCAGATGATGTGTGATAATAACCACCGTTTGCATAGTGCCTCACAGTGGGTTTTCAAATTCTCCCTCTTTGAGCACCCACACCCCTTGGGATGGTATTATTCACACTTATTGGATAAAAGAACAATTAAAAAACCCTTGAGAACAACCCTGCCTACTGCCTTCCATTCTGCTACCTAGCCACTCTCTAGGGCAGAGCGGATTTGCCCCATAGAGTTTCCGAGGCTGTAAATCCAGCGTCCCTTATGGAAGTGGCCTGCCTCGTTCTCTTCCCCCCAGGAGCAGCTGGTGGATTTAAACCACCAACCTTTCAGTTAACAGCACAGCACTGAAGCCACTGCACTGCCAGGGCCACTTTTTTGGACGAACCGCCACGAAGAAAGATTCAGTTGTTAGGTGCCATCAGGTCAACTGTAACTCATAGTGATTCTCAGAACGACAGTTGGGAACCTTGTTCTTTTTCTACACCCCGACAATCTCTGATATTCGAGTCCATTTTGGTACAGTCACTGCGTCAATCCTTGTTGAGGGGCTTCCTCTCTTTCCCTGAGCCCTCTTCCCTCCCTGCTATGATGTCTCCAAGGACTGTCCTCTCCTGACAACATGTCCATAGTTTCACTATCCTTCCCTTGCCTCTAAGGAACAACACCGTGGGTGTACTTATTCCAAGACACATTTTCTTTGTTCTTTTAGCAATGCACAGAATATTCAATACTCTTCTCTAATACCATGGTTTAAAGTCATCAATTCAGAGTCTGCGTTCTCAAACGCATGCCCTTAAGCAGCTCACTTTAGTGAATGTAGCTGGCCAGGTGTGGACTTTGGAGAGCCAAAGAGCTTGTGACCATCTCTTTTTGGGAACAGGATTCACTAAACTCCAGTTTGTCCTTGTTGGGTCTTCGATTTTTTTTTTCTCATTATTAAATGAAAGTTTACAGAGACTTTGGATTTCCATTCATTCATTGTTGCACTTTCTCCCTGCCCACTCTTCCTCCCCCCACACACCCAGTTCACTCTTCTCTTTGAAAAGTAAAAGAAAAATTCTTATGTTGTTATACAATCCCTTCCCCCAAGTCCACTCTACTATGCAGCCTTCATTCTGGACTCCTTTCATGACAGTAATACCTAATCATATATCCTGTTTAAACAGTTCTCTCCCTCATCTGTTTCAATGCAGTATACATAATTTGTCCCATCTTTCTCAGTCTCTTCCCAACTACAGTGTCAGTCCCATTTTATAACAGTGGCACAATACAGTATTTGTCCTTTTGTAACTGAGATACTTCACTCATAATGTCCTCCAGGGTCACTCATTTTGTATAATATTTCATGAGTTCCTTGTTTTTCAGTGTAGCATAGTATTCCATTGTGTGAATATACCAGAGCTTCTCTATCCATTTGTTTGTTGATTGGCACTTAAGTTGTTTCCAACTCTTTGCTATTGTGAAAAAAAGGTGTGATAAACATGGATGTGCATATATCTGCTTGAGTGGCAGTTATGGTTTCTTTGGGATATATTCCCAGTAGTGGAATTGCTGGGTCAAATGGTATTTCTATTTGCAACTTTTGAGAAAGCGCCATACATAGTGGTTGCACCATTTTACACTCCCACCAACAGTGAACAAGAGTTCCGGTTTCTCCACACCTCACCAGCATTTGTTGTTTGCTGTTCTGTTAAATTTTGCTGTTCTTACTTGGGAGAGATAGTTGTTTTGATTTGAATCTCTCTTAGAGATAGGGATTTTGAACATTTCTTCATGTGTGTGTTTGCCATCCGAATGTCATTGGTGAAGTGTCTGTTCATATCCCGTGCCCATTTTTCTACTGGGTTATTTACCTTTATCTTGTTGTGGTGCTCAAGTATTTTATAAATTCTAGATAGAAGTCCTTTATCTGACATGTCATCACCAAATGTTTTTTCCCAATCTGTGGCTTCCGTTTTTACCCTGTTGGAGAAGTAAATTTTTGGATGTGCATAGGGATTTGATTCTTAGAAGGTCCCATTCATCTATTTTAGCCTCTCCTGGTTGTAGGTTTTTCAGGATCCTTGGAAGACTGTTGATGTTGGGGTCTTCAATATTCTAATAACCCAGACACTGTGACTTAAATAACAGTAACAACAAAACTGTAGTTGGGTTGGCCCCATTTATCTCAGTGTAAAACTGAACTCCATGGGTTCTTCTGAGGTGGCCTCTGACTGGGTTTGAACCACCTACTTTAATGTTAGTAGTTGAACACTAATCATTTGATGTAACCCAGGAACTACTAATATAAATAAACTTTTTTTAAAATAATTTTTTAAATAATTAACCTTTTCTTAAATAAATTGAAAACAGTCTACAGGCCAGGCATCAGCTGTTTCTGCCTGTGGCTACCATTTGAGACCTGTTAAATATGAGTATCCGCCTGTGCTCCGCCACACCAGCCACCAGCCGGTTCTGACTGCTGCCTCCTTCCTCCTCTGTGCTCTGAGATGCCTCCTGCTCCTGCACCATCTCTTCCTTTGATGCTGCACCTCTGCCTTCACCTGAGAATGCACATGCTCCTAAAGACAGGGAAACTATGGCATCGGACCCTGTTCCCAAAAGTGCCCAGGCGGTTAAAGGACGGGATTTCCTGCTCAGGATCTGATGGTGTAGTGCATAATGTGTTGGTCTGCTGACCAGAAGTGGCTCAGACCCACCAGTTGCTCTGGGAAAAAGAAGAACATTCTCCTCCCGTGAAGATTTACAGCTTCAGCGACCTGGAGGGTCGCCATGAGCTCCTTGTCAGTAGAATGACGGACTTAGAACTGAAAGGAATCTGAAAATCCTGGCCTAGGCCCCTCAGGTTACACTTCAGTGCGGCTTGGCTAGGGTGACACAGGCAGGGTCCTGTGCCTGGGTGGGAGTCTTCACCCACCCCTTCTCAGCTTCCTCAGCAACGCCAAACAGAAAGAGTCATGATTTATTGTGGTGGCAAACTTCACATTTTTTCCCCTCCCGGAATAGATGTTTGAGCTTGTGGTTTTATTCAGCAGCTCAATTTCTTTTTCTTCCTGCTTTTGTTGCCTTTGATTACTTTATTCTCCTGTAACTATCATAAGATGGTGAAGCCAGAAAAGGGACTCTAATTTTCTCATCATGACTTTTTCACATTACGTCTTCAGTTTGAGGCTTCTAACCCATCTGTCTGGGTTCCCAGATTACAGCTAGTGAGACTTCTCTTAGTGATAATTTCTTTTTTTCTGTTAGAGTTTTTGGGTTTCTTTTTAATTTCTTTGGACTAGACAGAGTGGCATGTAAACACTTGTTAGGTGCTGTCAAATTGAGTACCACTCACAGCACCCCTAAACACAAGAGGTAGGAGCCCTGTCGTCATGTGCCATCCTTGTCATTTCTGGCACACTTGAGCCCATTGCTGCAATAAATCTCATTGGGGGACTTCCTCTCTTCCATTGACCCTGCACTTTTCCAAGCTTGAAATCTCTTTGAAAAATGTAATGCTTCATGACTCTGCATGCCATCCTTGCACAGGGACCATGTTCATCTTCTCTATGTCTTTCTGCTTTTAGTATATATACTGCTGAGGCCAGCAGTATATAAATGCTACTTGCTATAGAATTCAAAACCAAACTCCTTTTACTGAATTCATTCCCACTCATGCTAACCTTTCTTTCATCTGGTTTCTGAGACTAATTTGTTATCAAAGGAGACTGCCTCATCATTCTGCCATGGAACTGCTGGTAGATTTGAACCACTAGTCTTTTGATTAGCAGCCTAACATGTAAATGCACTGCAGCACTGGGCTTCCTTACATACAGAATTTACAGTCTAATACATGCTGTCAGTGCCTATAGGTTATCTGCATCCTTATAGTTGAGTGAAAATTTAATTCAATCATGTAATGCCTCAGCTGGGGCCTACAATACTTTTTAATAGCTATAGTTTTCTGTAATTGGAGTCCTGGCGTGTCTTTCCAAATCCAGATAGTTGAGGTTGCTTCATATGTGAATTGAATAAAGTATTTGCACCTGGAAATCTGAAACACTATATACTGCAAATACTTTAAGGTATCTCATGGGATCGTTTCTGTTTCATTCAGTGGAAAGTAATTGTAAATATAGATCATAGCCTCTTTTTTTCAGCTGTTCTGCATTTTGGGATATAATTCTTTTAAGGGTGGTGTGATGGGAAGAGGAGTCAACTCATTTCTTAGGAAGTACGACAGGAGACTGGCTCCTTTTCACTAAGCTCACCACATTTTTTTTTTACCGTGCAACAAAACCTTTAACATTTTCAA